CACGTTTTTTAGGGGAGTCTGCGTTTTCTTGGGGGGGGGGGGTCTGAGGTCACTTTTTACTTGGTTAAGTATATAAATTTAATAACTCTGCAAATTCCAGAAGGGGGGGGGGGTCCGGACCCCACAACCCCCTCTAGATCCGCGCATGAATAATGTTCTATAGGATCAGGAACATTACTGCAAATGATGAGAAATGTTCAGAACAAATTGAATGGTTGAATTTTTTCATTTTTCTCAGATTAGGAAGGGATATTAAGATTTTGTGAAATAATAAAAACTTATATAAAAAGTTCTTTTGTTCAAATTACAAAAAATGGTATATAAGGGATTTGGAAGAAAAAACTTTGAAAATGTATGGAAAACACAGATCTCCAGGATAATAGTTATTGACTTAAAATTTTCAAAATGTCGCAAAGATCTTAATTTTATACTTTTACAATACAATGTATATAAAATAGACCTGTAATTGTATATTTTCCCTGATCACTACTGCAGATATTCTGTTAATTAAATATCTTTAGAGCGAACTAAATTGATAGTGTGTTTTTAAAAAAGGACCAAATGTTTAAATCTAATACATTAGATTTTTCTATTTTACGTATATAAAGTCTATTATTAGAGAGGGAGTATTCCTTCCTTCACCGTAAGTAAAAAATATATGTTCGCCATTCAGTATGATTAAGACCCCCCCCCCCCCCTCGCGCCTTTTCTCCCAAAATCGAATTCTTAGTATTTTCAGTATATTTTAATTAACATTTAATGCGTATTTTAACACAAAAAAACTTAGTCTTAAAACAAACATCAAAATAGTAATTAAACTATAGTATTTCAAAATATACAAGTGCCGACAGTGTTATTTTAAATTGTCAGGGAGTATGTTTCAAATTCAATTTCAAACTTAATCCTTTGAAGTATATATTCCCAATATTTATTATTATTTTTTTTCTTCAGAAATGTGGAAATCAAATCTAGAAATGATAGGAAAAATGTTAAAACTTCTTGGAAAACTAAGTGACTCTTTGCCTTCGGCATGTTCTGTGAAACGAGGTTTCTTTACCTCTACTGTGTCAAACGATTTTGGTTGACAGGACAAGCACTTGGATTTCGTGTGAACCGTGTGAACTTGAAGAAGGAAAATAAAAGCCGATGATTACAATCAAATGGATTTGTTAATCTTTAAAAAATGATTACTTTTACTGCCTGGAATGTTTAGAAAAATTAATAACAATTTTTATTTGATACAACAGAAATCTGAGAATGGAGGGATCATTTCTCTCTCTCTCTCTCTCTCTCTCGTATTTGTTTGTTCAATAAAAACTATGACAACATATTACTTATTTAGTTTTGAAAATCTAATATATAACAGATAATTTACATGCCTCTTTCCGTCATTTTGTCTGAGTATAATCATGGCCGGGAAATGTATACAGATACATGAAGAACTTTGCTAAGATAATCATCATGAAAAAAATAAAAATGACACATAAGTATATATTTATTTTGCATTAAAATTTTAAAATACGAGTGTATTTATGCAATACGTCAACAGATATTTGTAAATTAAAAAAATCTATTATTTTACACCGAATCGCCTTGACACGGAAATATGGTTGTTACAACCGTGGTTTAGTGTAATTATTTCATTCTTTAATTAGTAGTTTTATCTTCTTAAGTCCACATTATTTTATTCTTTAAAAGAATAAGCATATTTACAATATAAGTACGAGATTAATTTTATATTTATACTACACGCGATCGGTAACATTTACACATGATTTACGGTAATAAAAATCGTATTATCAAAATGTCGATTTAAAATATCATACGTATGTGCAGAAAAAAAATGTATTTATTATTCATTTATTGATCTATTGTTTAATTATATTTTAGCACCTGAAATTAGAATAGAATAATAGAATAATTTCAATGCACGGACAAGGTCGGAGGCATTCCGAATAGTTAAATCGTTCATCTTGCGTTCACCGTTCACTTTGCGCTTGCGTTCTGCGTTCACTCACCGTTCACCGTTCACACATCGTTCACCAAGTTGCGTTCAGCGTTCGCACATCGTTCACTCACCGTTCGCTCTGCGTTCGTTCACCGTTCGTTCAACGTTCGTTCAACGTTCAGGTGGGAAAATAGAACGTTTCAGGGACTGTATATAATTGCCTTATCATGGTTTCTCAAATTTGCAATGTGTCCAACGACCTTTCTGAAAATTCATTAAAACAATAGATATGTTGAATATCATTTGAACCCTACAAATTTAAAACACTTCTAGAAATCTTCCACTGATTATAGTTACTCCATTTTTAATGCATTTACTGTTTTTAAGAACTCATTTATTATTTTTCAGGAATATCTGTTGAAATGAGTATAACTTCAGCATTATTAAGGTATTAATATTCTCCCTTTTTACTTCTTTCAAAATTGAATATAAGTGAATAACATTACTAATTTTGCAAACATGCAGTGCATAGTGAAATTTTTTCCTTCGTAAAATAAAATTATACGAAGTAGAAAGTATCCGTACAAAAAACATACATGTAAAATTTTTGTACGGCTAGTTTTTAAAAGAATTCAACGATAGTTCTGACTGTGCAAGCCTTGAAATTTAATCCTTTGCTACATAAAGACACTTTATTTGGTCCAAAGGCACAGGATTAAGTTTTTTTTTGAGAACCTCACTTTAACAATAAAATAAAATGCTTATTTTTTTTTCAGATGTCGGACTTTTTGGAATGGAATGAAACGTATAAAAAGTATCCTTGTAATTTTTGCTGTCGGTACCACCTGTGGACTATACATCTTAATATTCATGAACACTTCTCTTCAACCATTCGGAACGTCTGACAAATTTAAGCATAAAGGGCGTAGTTTATTGACAATGTTTTCAACTTGGCCAACGCCCGAATATCCAGAAAAATATGATGTTCGAAATAACACAGTGGCTAACTGGAATAAATTTAAGGAATATTTTACTCCAATTTATTTTACAAATGACGAAAATTTGAAACACGCCGTTGAAAAAGGCGGCTGGAAAACGCTACCGGTGACAAAAGTGGGTAATGGTAATGATTTACCTGTTTTCAAGAACTTGTTCTTAGACGCTATGAAACACCACGACTCGTGGTTCTATGGTTTTGCGAGTGGGGACATAATGTTTACAGAAGAACTCATCGAAACACTTCTTGCTTTGGTGAAAATACCTGAATTTCGAGATCAAGTTATCCTTCTTGTTGGTCAAAGAACAAATGTTGATAATGTTACTATAAAGGAAGCCTCGAATTTTGAAACTCTTAAAATGATATCAAAAGATAGGGGGAAGTTGTGGACCCCACTGGCTGAAGACTACTTCATTACGTCCAAACATTTTCCATGGGGAGAGCTGCTTGATGTAGTTTCTGGAAGATGTGCGATGGATAACTTTATAGTAATGGAGTCGCTTGATCGTGGTTATATAGTTATTGAAACTACCCAAACAATATTAGCTGTGCATCACACAAGCATAGGCGGGAATAATGAAAATCTTAGAAAAGCTAATGCAAATTATAATCTCGATCTTATTAGAAGGTATTATGGACGTAAGCCCTATAAATACGGTAAAGGACGAACAATTTGTGCTAATTATTTTTCGCAGTTTCTCAACAAACACACTATTATCTTTAGTAAAAAAAAGTAAATCTGTCTGTTAGGAATATGTCAGTTACGCATCCCTTGTTCAAAGAGTAGACTTAGTGAAGCATTTATACTCTCCATTTGTGTCTTCAAACAGTGTACTTTTTCTTTTTAAAAAAGTAAAGAACTTAATTTGGTAATAACCAATATTTGCCCCCCAAATCAAACTTTGATGGAGGTATATTTAATTAAGTTCTTAAACGGGGGAGCATTTGCTGACTTCAAAGCACTGAATATTTTCATACGTAATGACGTCATATGTACGTAATGACGTCATAAACATGACGTAAATTTCAGTTTTTTATGAATTCTACAGAAAAATGTACATATTTCGTCGATATTTTGAGTAAAAGTCACCGAGCGCATGTGTGTTCAGGATCAAAATTTTGATATAATGTGTAGAATGATAATATCAATGAAATATGAAAATATTGTTCCTGAACAAACTTGCGCTCTATAAATTTTAAAGCTAAAATTGTTCAAATTTTGTCCATTTTTTCCTCTTTCTGAAAAAGGATATAAAATCTGACTAGTTTGTGACGTCATAAAAACAAAAATTGTGAATAAACTGCTTTGAAACTATAATATGTTCTGTTAATTTATATTTCTCATACAATTTATTGAATTCAGCACATTTCAGGAAGTTTTCAAAATTTGACTTTTGTGGGGGCAAGTATATGCAATATACCGCATATAGTTCTTTGATTTTATAACGTAAAGTTGAATTCCTTTTTCTGTGAAATATTTTCAATTCAATTACATTAGAACGTAGATCTAGCGAATCGTTTGGTAGTTTTGCTGGCCTTGGATATGTATTGTAAATTTAACGAGGGATAACACAATTAATTGAATTATTTAAATGTTTTAAGACAAAGCACAATCTAACATTCTATAAGTACTTTAAGATCAGTATTACAAAGTGTTGTAATTACATGCAAATCGCATTATATATGTACATTACGATCAGTCCAAATTATGACACAATTCAGTGAAGCTCAGTAAACATGTAATTTAAGCAAACAAACTACCTGACATTTATATTAATACACCCTTTTTCTAAAACTCTGAAATTGAAAGTGTTTTAAGCATCCCCGAAATCGCTAAGCTTAAATTGGGACGCTACAAAATAACTAGCAAAACTCCTGTACTATTATCCTGGATCTTTTAGTAAAAGAAAAAATATCAACTTCATCTTGGTGTTTTAGTTTTATTTAATTATAATGCAGTATTCACTCAACAGGTATTACTGAATTGGTTAGTGGCTTCAACCGCACAGACTATTGTGTATGTTGACGACAAAAATAATCAACGAAAGAGGAGTGCGCATGCCCAACATGTAAGACACACATTCCTGGCAGAGGGAGAATTTTTGCCAAAAACCCTGTGAAAAAGTGAAACTCTGAAATTTAAAATGCAGTGATATTAATCAAGATATTCTTCTGTGTGTTATGTGCAGATTTAAGTAGTTTACGGAAAGAAATAGATACACCAGAGAGTTGGTAAACTTTTCGGTAAGTCAGTGGCATTTAACTGTTAAACGGTGAGCGATACTCGTATACCTAAATACAGTGTTATTCTGTCTTCACAATGGCGGAGATCTCTAAAAAACGATCACTGGACAAAACAGATGATACGGGTGAATTGTCAATGGAACAAAATGAACAAGGTAAACAAAAAACTGAAGGTTTTCAACTTAGAGAAATTATGCAGGGCATTTCCAGCATACAGACAACGCTAGCTAATTTCATGTTACGACTCGATGGTCAGGGCAAGCATCTAGACGACATTACAAAAGAAATTAGAGCGAAAAACGGTATTCAGGAGAGGCTAGAGAATGTCCAGGAGCAGGCCAATGATACTATCTACCTCGTAACAGAGTTGCAGGACAATCAGAAGAAAATGGAGAGAGAATTAAATAGACTCAGGGACTACGTAGTTAAGCTTGAATATCGTGTGAACACGCAAAATAATCAAATTATCGACCTCAAATCAAGATCAATGGAGAACAATATTATTATCAGTGGGCTGGAGGAAAAAAGTCCAGAGAGAAAGTCCCCGGAAAATCTTGCTAATATTCTTAGAAATGTTTTCATGTCTGAAATGGGGATGGAAGAGGCAACAGTTAACGAACTCCGAATAAACAAACTTTTCCGCATGGGAGAGTATGATGTACAAAGAAAGTTCCCGAGACCCATCTGTGTACAATTCAGTGATAAGACACAAAAAGACCTTGTGATGAAGCATATTAAAGTCTTGAAAGAAAAAGAATCAGTTATAAGAGTAGCACAGCAGCAGCCGGAAGAGATCCGAGAGAGGAGAAAGCAACTCTACGAAGTTCAAAAGAAGTATGCGGAACGCAGTATCGAGTCAAAAATCAAGGGTGATAAACTTGTATTTACGCAAAGCAACTCCGTTTACCGGGAAAAAGTCGGACCTTTGCCTACCGCAGACGAAGTAATCACAGATGACGTGGCAAATACTGCCGTTAGTACAGGGAAGTCCATAGAAGATAACGGGAACCGGTTCATAGCACACGCTACACAGGTCGACTCCTACAAACAGATCAAGAAATCGCTGGTGGATATCATGCGTGTTGAGACTGTGCCAAGCGCGAGTCACAATATTTACGCCTACCGTTTCTCAAGTAGTGATGGAGTGGTGCACGAAGGTTCAAATGACGATGGAGAGCATGGAGCCGGTAGGTTGCTATTAAAAACGCTGGCCGATAACGAAATTAACAATGCACTTGTAGTTGTGTCAAGATGGCACGGAAATAACATCGGACCCCGTCGCTTCTCGCACATTAAGGAAGCAGGTCTCGGTGCGGCAAAGATCGAAGTTCCAGTCTCAGTTTGATATAGCTTTCAATCTCGCATAAAAGGTGAATTCCGACTGCTATTTGAGTGGACCACTATCTTATTACCGATAACAGTGTAAACATCAGGTGTGTTTATTGAAATATTCCGGAATATTTTTTTCTACCTAATAATTATTCCGGCTTTTTTTGAAATGCTGTATTTCCTGTTTTGTTTTTCGCATTTGGTAAACAATTTTCTTTTCATTGCAAATATTACCTGGTGTTAACATAATATGTGAATATATTATTTGACTTAAATACCACATAACAATGGGGGAATCTATGCACATAGTCTCCATAATATCAAACAAATATACATTATCTAATTGATACAAAATAGTCAAGTTATGATTTGTGTAAAACCATAGTTTTCTCTGTTATTGTTAAAGTTATTAAACTTTTATCATAACTTTCTATGCTCATATCCTTTTTCTCTATTAAATAGAAAAGTCTTTGTGCATAGTATTCTCTACAATCCGTTAGCATTTTTGATTTTTAGCTCACCTCAACGAAGTTGGGGGGAGCTTATGTGATACCCTCGGCGTCGGCGTCGGTGTCGGTGTCGGCGTCGGCGGTTAAGGTTAAGTTTTTTGGAGCAGTTTTCTTTTTAATTACTTCTGTGTCCTATACTGATTAGACATGCATGGAAGATGGTTTTAGTGCGTTTTATTGTACCAGACAAAGTTTCAGATGCTGCAATTTCAGCAAAGGAATTACCAGGTTAATGTTTTTGGAGCAGGTTAACATTTTTGGTGCAGTTTTTGGTGTGGGTTTCATTTCCAAGTAACTATAAGCCCTATGTTGACCAAACTTGCATGGATGATACATCTAAGGATGCATACTACCGGGCTTGCTTCGGATGTTGAATCTGACCTACATTTTCCGGTTGAGTGAACAGGTTAAAGTTTTTGGTGTAGGTTTCATTTCCAAGTAACTATAAGCCCTATGTTGACCAAACTTGCATGGATGATACATCTAAGGATGCATACTACCGGGCTTGCTTTGGATGCTGAATCTGACCTACATTTTCCAGTTGAGTGAACAGGTTAAAGTTTTAGGTGCAGGTTTCATTTCCAAGTAAATATCAGCCCTATGTTGACCAAACTTGCATGGATGATACATTTAAGGATGCATACTACCGGGCTTGCTTCGGATTTTGAATCTGACCTACATTTTCCGGTTGAGTGAACAGGTTAAAGTTTTTGGTGTAGGTTTCATTTCCAAGTAACTATGAGCCCTATGTTGACCAAACTTGCATGGATGATACATCTAAGGATGCATACTACCGGGCTTGCTTCGGATGCTGAATCTGACCTACATTTTCCAGTTGAGTGAACAGGTTAAAGTTTTTGGTGCAGGTTTCATTTCCAAGTAACTATAAGCCCTATGTTGACCAAACTTGCATGGACGATACATCTAAGGTTGCATACTACCGGGCTTGCTTCGGATGCTGAATCTGACCTACATTTTCCGGTTGAGTGAACAGGTTAAAGTTTTTGGTGCAGGTTTCATTTCCAAGTAACTATCAGCCCTATGTTGACCAAACTTGCATGGATGATACATCTAAAGATGCACACTACCGGGCTTGCTTCGGATGCTGAATCTGACCTACATTTTCCGGTTGAGTGAATAGTTAAAAGTTTTTGGTGCAGGTTTCATTTCCAAGGAACTATGAGTTCTTTAATGACCAATCTTGCATAGATGATACATCTAAGGGTGCATACTTCCAGGCTTGCTTCGGATGCTGAATCTGACCTACTTTTTGTGGATGAGTGAAAATGTTAGTTTTGATGCATGTTTTATTTCCAATAAACTATGAGCCCTATAATGAGCAAACTTGCATGGATAATACATCTAAGGATGCACACTAATGGACTTGCTTCAGATAATAGACAAGGTAAAAGTTATGGTTGCAGGTCTATTACCAAAAACTATAAGGCTTATATAACATTGTATAAACCAAACTTGCACAAATGCTGCATCAAGAGATGAAAACTCTCAAATTTGCTTCAGATGCTGGATTTTCATTACATTTTCATGAAGAAGAAGTAGTTTAAATTTTTTATGTAGGTCTATTTCAAAGTATCAGATCAAAATTGCTTTTAAAAATATTTTCATTTTTGGAATGTATACTTTTTGTTGGTTAATTGTGTGACTTTGCCTTACTTAAAGACAACATTCGTTTAGGTGAGCTCTGTAATCTCTGATTACCTATGTTTATAAATGTGCCTACTTCCAATTTATTATCATAACTTTTAAAAAGTTTTTAGCAAAATCCCCCTCCAAATAATTAACAACAAGAGGCATGTCTTTTTTTTCCATACTTTTTTCCACTTTTTTCCAAATATTTGTTTTTGACAACTGGGGGTCAGCATTATTCCTATCATCATACAGACATTTATGGGACATAAGGAAAATAACATAAAAATACTGTCAGTAAACTGCCATGGCCTGGGGGATATAGATAAAAGAGGTGATGTTTTCAAAAATCTAAAAGCTAAGAAATATAATGTTTATTTTCTTCAAGATACACATTTTGTGGAAAAAGATGAGAATATGATAAGAACACAGTGGGGGTATAAAGCTTTTTTTAGTTCTTTTAAATCCAATTCAAGAGGAGTTGCTATCTTATTTAATAACAATTGTGAAGTAAAAATATGCAACGAGTTTAAGGATAATGAGGGAAATTATCTTATTTTAGATGTCATCATTGAAGACTTACCTTTTTTATTGATAAATATATCCGGTCCAAATTGTGATAGACCCAATTTTTTTCTAAGTTTACTTAATAAAATAGAGGAGATAAACTGTTCTCAACACATTGTTATTGCAGGTGACTTCAATTTAATTTTTGATAAAGAGTTAGATTCAACAAACTACAAAAATTTAAATAATCCCAAATCACGACTTGAAGTTTTAAAACTTATGGATGCTTTAAACCTAAAGGATGTATATCGTGAAAATAACCCAAACTTAAAAAGATTTACATGGAGATGAAAAAACCCAATTAAACAAGCTAGGCTTGACTTTTTCTTAATATCAGAATCTTTGTTTACCATGACTCCTTCTGTAACTTACGAGAATAGTTATCGTTCTGATCACTCACCAGTTGTGTTAAGTTGTAAATTAAATGAGTTCATAAAAGGAAGAGGATTCTGGAAATTTAATAACTCTTTATTAACTGATAAGGAATTTGTTAAAAAGATAAAATATAAGATTGAAGAGGTCAAAGTTCAGTATGTCTGCCCTGTTTACAATATGGAAAGACTTAGGTGTCTAGGTAATGATGATATTCAATTTACTATTAGTGATCAACTTTTTCTTGATATTTTACTAATGGAAATAAGAGGAAAGTCAATCTCTTATTCCACTTACAAAAAGAAGGAAACAAATGAAAAAGAAAAACAATTAGATAAAGAAATATTTGAATTAGAACAAAATTTAACAGAACAGTCAATAAATGAACTTGCAGAAAAACAAACAGAAATAGAAGAAATAAGAAAAAAAAGGTTTAAAGGACAATGTATCAGGTCAAAAGTTAAATGGATTGAGGAAGGAGAGAAACCATCAAAATACTTTATTAGTTTAGAATCAAGAAACTATGTCAGTAAGCAAATTCCAAAAAAAGAAAGAGATGATGGATCATTTGTTTCTACTCAGAAAGATATTTTAGAGGAAACAAAGTCTTTTTATGAAAGTTTATATAAAAAAAGGGAAAATGTTGAATCTGAAAATATTCATGAAAAATTAAAAAATTATAAAGATATTCCCAAGTTAAGTAAAGAGGAATCAAATAGTCTTGAAGGTCCAGTGACAAATTCTGAAGTTCTTAATTTCCTAAAACAAATGAAAAATGAGAAGAGTCCTGGCCCCGATGGATTTACTTGCAAGTTTTTCAAATTTTTTTGGAAAGATATAGGTTCTTTTATTACAAGAGCAATAAACAATTCATATGATCTAACACATTTTACAGAGTCAAATAAACTTGGAATTATAACTTGTATTCCAAAATCAGGAAAACCAAAACAGTTTTTAAAAAACTGGCGGCCAATTAGTCTACTAAATGTAGTTTATAAAATAGCTTCAGGTTGTATTGCTGAACGAATGAAAACAAAATTAGATACATTAATCAATAGAGACCAAACTGGATTTATAAAAGGCAGATTTATAGGGGAGAATATTAGATTAATATATGATTTGATGCATTATACAGAATTAAACCAAGTACCTGGTTTACTAATGCTTATAGACTTTGAAAAAGCATTTGATACAATTTCTTGGAAATTTATATATCAAACATTGGACTTTTTCAACTTTGGGCCCTCCATTAAAATATGGATTGAGACTTTCTACAGTGATATTAAATCATGTGTAATACAAAATGGTGTTATTTCAGAATTAAATTACATGTCAAAATTAAATGATATTAAAAAACTACTATGTAGTTGGAGTATGAGGAAACTTACCCCAATTGGTAGATTAACAGTAATTAAAACTCTTATAATACCAAAACTAAATCATCTGATTCTTACACTACCAAATCCTAAACCCGAATTTCTAAAAATGTTTGAGACAGAGTTGTTTCATTTTTTATGGAATAGTAAAATACATAAAATAAAGAAAAATGTTATAATTCAGGACTATAAATATGGAGGGTTGAAAATGGTAGATTACACAGAATTTATTTCTGCACTTAAATCAAGTTGGGTTAGAAGACTCATTCACTCAGATGCAAAATGGGTAAAGTTGTTTAAAGCTGAACTAAAAACAGACATTGAAAGCATGTGGATAAGGGGCTCAAATTACATTCTAAACTTAGCAAAGAATTTAACAAACAATTTTTGGAAAGAGGTCCTTAATTCCTGGGTAAGACTTATAAATATAAACCAAGAAAACAAACATGTGTTATTAGAACATATATGGAATAACCCACATATAATGATTAATAGAAAAATTTTTTTCTGGAAAAGCTATTTTGATGAAGGCTTTGTCTTTTTAA